ATGATTTCTGACAGACAGTTCACTCTCCTGTGATGTGACCCTGTTCCCCTCTCACACACATGACACATTACTCTGCGCTGCGCAAAACTCCGCATTTGAACAGTCAATTGCAAATACCTAAACTAATAACAAAGCATACTTACAGTCGCTGATTCAAGCGCCAGATTGTCATAGCAAAGTCAGAATTGACCTTTTTTTTTTTTTTTTTTTGAAATAGCCTTTTTTTGGGTGGTGTTATGCAAATTTTCCCACACAGTGACGTAGACATGTGGGGGCGTGTTTAAACGAGGCGTTTTAGGTGGGCGTGAACGAGTCTTAACGTTTATAAAGAATATCTTTTTGGGTTTGAGACTTAAGTCTTTGCAACTTTATGGATCTTATGTATGCAGGAACAGCTTGTAACACTCCAAAGAGAAAGGAACAATTGAAATCGCATCATATGACCCCTTTAAGATTACTGATCATAACTGAATTCAACCAACCTGGAAAAAAGCATAACCGTTAGTAGATGTAACCTGATTTCTCCAGTTCGGTAAAATTACTTAAGTTTGACATAATCTTTCCTGTTTTAAACAATGAAAATCATTTCTCACACTGTAAAAAAAACAAACAAACAAAGCAGTGAAATGCATGGCAACACAGACTGCTAAACATTTACCATTAATGGAAATAACATTCTCTGTAAAACATAAAGCTCTTGCAAACAACCATAACCAGCAATAGCACACATGCTTGCGCTAATATAACTATCACTGCATCAGCAACACCACAGCTACTGCTTTTAAGTAAAGCAACATGCAGTATAACATCAGTGCTTTTTGGTCTTCTCCTGGACTGAAGCACAGACTCTACTCTTCAGCACAATGGTGACCCACAAAACTCAGACAACAGAAACCCTTCAAATCCCAACAGAACATTAAACACTGACAGATCTCTCTAGATCTCAGCATCTTCACTTAAACCAGTCTGACTTAATTTCTTTCATACAAAACTTCTTATTTTGAATTAGAATTAACAGAGGTTTAGATGTTGATGTTTTATTGACAATAATAAAGTTTGAAGTCACCGTTGTGGAGATAAGCATTTGCTTTAGTTGAGCTCTTGATCCTCGACTTTTCAGCATACATTTTTTCCTGTTTGTTGTAATTGTGTGTTTCTAAAGCACATTTGTTGTAGTTGAAAGCACTTGAGAAAGTCTAGTGAAACGGGAGTTATATTAAAAGAAATTTATTTCTTTCACAATTTGAAATTTTGTCCTGCTTTGTTATTGTGAAAGTTTTTAAAACATTATGTAAAACTTGTTGTGATTGGATCGCATAGACTGACAGAAATCATGAATCTGCATATGAACTTTAACAAATTATTCTGATAAACGAGTAAACTCTGAGCATCACACAACAAGGTACGAAAGACTCAAAAAAGGTTTGCATTGATTGTCACCATCACTGCATGAAAAGGCGCGTTTCCGGACTGTTCACGTCAGCACACGAACCCGTAAACGGAACGTTTCTGGCAGTTTCCGTGTATGTGCCCTGGCGTTTCTGGACTCTGACAGAAATGGACTCTTTTGTGTGCGGCCGTTTTCCAGTCCACTCATTTATGCGATAAACTTCCGGACACGGACATAAATGTTTACTCACTCACCGGTAAATCCACGTACATCCCTGTGCATGAGAAGTAAAGTCTCCGCAAAATCCAGGGTACAAGCAGTTAAAGCTCCGTAAACGGCCACTCATGTCTCAGTAAACATCTATAAATAACCGTACACTTAATATATTTTAAATGCTACGGGCCTTCTACACAAAAATGCGCCATATGCACTTATAAAAACTGTCAACAAAGCCACAAACACAGCAAGGCGTCAACAAAACTCATTTTTTATTTTCCAGCAAATGCAAGATTGCAAATATTTAACAGGACTGCAAATATTATTAAACAAACTATTATGAGTCACGAAACAAGCTAATAAAAGGTAAAAATAGCAATTATTAAAGCAAATAGTAAGAATAAAAGAAAATACTAAGACAATTCAGGTGCATAATTTATTCATGCTGAAATGCATTCTGGGAACCATGGGTGAGTTTTGATTGGTGCACCCAGAATGCACTGCAGCATGAAGCTTTTTGTTTATTGTCACCATTGTTGAGATTCATATGCTGATTCTTGATGAATGTTTGTGTCTCATGCTTACTGATGTTCAAAATGTTTTGTGTGCAAAGTGTTTTTACAATTAATCAAATTATCTGATAAAAACTGTCATTTCAACAACAATGTTAAGATAATTTATTATCAAACATAATCACAGATTTAGACTTTGGATGAGATCAGTGGATCAGGACGTTACATGACAGTCTACAGAAGTCTTTATTAATGACCAGCCAAAACCAACACTGATCCAAGTTTTCGTCAGTTTTTTTTGCCATAAATGTATTTTGCAAACACAGATTTACAGCAGGCAAAAAAACTAATATTACAAAGTCAAGGGTCAAGAGCCCAACTAAAACACTGATCACATTAATGGTGACTTTAAAGGTGACATATTATGCCCCTTTTTACAATATGTAATATAAGTCTCTGGTGTCCCCAGAATGTGTCTGTTAAGTTTCAGCTCAAATACTCCACAGATCATTTATCATATAATTTTGAAAATGCATATTTTGAGTGGAAGCAGAAACACGCTGTTTTTCGAGCCTGTCTCTTTAAATGCAAATGAGCTGCTGCTCCCCGCCCCTTTTCTACAATAGAGCTGCCATTACAGCTCGGACCTGCTAAAAACATCTGTTTTGGTTCTGATTATCATGTTTATCGCGCTGAAATCATGCGTTTTAAACCATATGAGTGTCTGTGAAGTTTCAGCTCAAAATACTTCACAGATAATGTATTATATCTTTTTGAAAATGCCTATTTTTAGTGGAAGCAGAAACACGCTGTTTTTCGGGCCTGTGGCTTTAAATGCAAATTAGCTGCTGCTCCCCGCCCCTTTTCTAGAATAGCGCTGCGCCTTTATTGCTTGTATCTGCTAAAAAAACATCTGTTTTGGTTCTGATTATCATGTTTATCGCGCTGAAATCATGCGTTTTAAACCATATGAGTTTAAATTTCTGATATACGGTTTTCTGAGAGCACACATCCGAAGCACATGCACAGAAAGCGGCTGTCACAGCATGTGAGTACTAAACTAAGCTCTCATTCACACACAAGTTTACTTTAAAAACACACGAGTTACAAAAACAGTCGGTTATGTCTGTGAAGGTAAACAGCTGGGAAATAAATCGCATGTTTATTTTAGATCTGTGTGGCAGCAGCAATATACAGTAAATAAATCAATAAATCCTCTGCTCTGTTGTCTCCTCTGAGGCTGGGACTCTAAACAGTGTTCTGTGCTCGTCTGTGCAGCCAAAGACAGAACAGTTAGCATGTTTTGCTTAAACTTTTGCCATGGCATTAGAGCTGCTACACTGTTGTCACTTGCGAAATCAAAATAACGGCGCCGTGGGTGGAAACTTACAGATTAAGGGGCGGTAATATTATAATGAGATCCCTTTGCCACGATTTTCATGATATGTCACCTTTAAACGAAACATTCAACATCTAAACCTCTGTTCTAAATAATAACTTTTTTAGACAAACTGGTTAGTAATAAGTGAAGCTGGTGATGCCGTTTGTGGAGTTGTTTGATCCTCCTCCGCTGAGATTTTGAGAGATTGAATGTGTTCACGTTCTGAGAACGCTCTGGGAACATTACATT